CGCATATTAAGTCTCGTAACACGAGCGGCACGATCGTCGCTCTTTCATTTAATAAACGACGCTGTCGCGTGGGATGCATCGATTATGAGAATGCATACCCGTGAACGTGCGCCTTCGACCAGATATACCCGACGCACATACTCGGGAATGACTCGACTCCCGTTGCGGTGACCTCACCCGAGGTGTCCGACCACGACAGAGTACGTGTTCTCCTTTCAACAGGAAACCCAACGCTCTATTCGACCGCGGTCGGCCGCGCGCCTTTTAACATCTCGCCGAGCCTTATAAATCGGCGGATATTAATCCCGTGCATATTTATAATTTCTTCTGCGCGCGTGTATAACGCGAACGAAATTTATGAGAGCGCGCACGAGCCGAAGACAGCATGATTAATCCCCGATACACAAGTATCGAGCAAACATCGAGCTCGCGCGTCCGCCGTTATGGCATCGATAACCATCCCGGGGGGAGTATTAATCTCTCCGAAAGAATTAACCGTGCAGAGCATGGCCGTTTAGCACGTCGCCCATGGGCTAAAATCCATTTTTTTATGTTAACACGTACATATATTACCGATATTATACGAGAAAATTGCTTTAAACTCAATGAAACTGAAAATTTTTGTCGATGTTGTCGAAAAGGCAAAGAAAATTTTAGAGATTATCAGTTGTTATGTTTTAATTTAAAATAGTAAAAAATGGAAAATATAAGAAAAGCACGTGCCTTAATTTTTTAAATATGTTAAATAATCCTAGCATCAATGGAATCGTATTCACTTACAATACGTGTTCATGTAAAAGTGGCTAGTAACGCGTCTATTCTCGAGACACGGATGCATTTCCCGTCGTTTGGTCGTATCGTACTTGTGGTACCGGTTTGCGGATCTTGGCCGCTTTATTCGGAGTAACTCCTCCTCAGTCTCTTTGTCTTCCGTTTCGCAATCGCGAGGGCACGATAAGTAATAAAGGCACGGGCGAGGATAAAGTCCTGTGAGCGCGCTGTAAATCGCCGCGAAATAATTGCCGAGAAACATCATCGATAAAAGAAATTGCAAAGACTGTATTCTGGACGTCAAATCCAGATTTATTTCAGCGAAATAAAGATTTCATTCTTTACTCGGCACATTTTTCTTCCCGAAACATATTATTATTAATCGTATCGTATTTATTGCGTTCCTTAACAATGACGTAAAAATTTGACGTTTAAGTGAAAAAGTATCGACGACGGAGCCGAGCGAAAATAATGCATCATAAAGTAGCTGTTTGTACACCTACGCTGCGAGTCTCCCTACCACCCCTCTCCTGTCTTTCGTACCCCGCCCTTTCTCTACACCTTCGTTTCTCATGTTGGCGAGGTGATCAGTAGCGGCTTCGGGCACACTGTACATGCTCGCGTTCCATGCGTAAAAATAGAACAAAGCCATATTCTTACGATTGTAGAAATCGTATAGCATAAGTAGCTTATGGAAAAGGATAGTTAGCTGTCATGCTTACAAGAAAGAAAAAACGTGTCAATCAAAAGTGAAAAAATGTGTCAATCATAAACACAATCTCTTATATCGAAGTAATAATAATATTTAAGCGAAAATAAGACGTTTATTAAAGTCGCTAATTATATTTATTATTAATTATCTTATTTATTTTTTGCATGTCTGATTTGTGAATTGAAATTATCTGAAAGTCAAAATAATGAAACAAACTACAGGATCCCGAGTAAACTTTACTTTAACGTGTCGATGCGAGCTTTATTTTAACTATCTTATCGGGCGAATTTATTACTTGTATCAGGGCAAGGACGACAGCGATCTTCTCGGTATCGCAAAAATCCGTGACGGCAATAAAGTCCGGAGATCCGGAAACTTTGAAATTCACAGCCTTGTATACATTTTACACCGTTGTGATTCGCATAAAGATTATCGTGTGCAATAAGAAAAAAAGTATCATTTCGTTCTCGCACAGCCACCATGCCACAAAGCGTCATGTAATAACGCCATTAAACGTACGTTACGAAAGATACATACATTTTGCCAACAGAGTACATTAATAACTAATTAAAGTGGAATATTTGTGCAACTAATTTAAGATGATTAATTGATTAACGTATCTTAACGCAGAATCGGAATAATTCTCATCTTCAAATTTCTTAAAACATGTTTGCACTTATTTCGATGTACGAATATTATTTTAAGCGGATCTAGACTTGTTAGAACTTTTTTCTTCTAATTTGAAGTACTTTTGATCATTTTAAAAGAATTTTATAACCGACGCGGATTTGATTATTATTTTAATATGCTTATTAAACATAATTTTTTACACCTTTCTTTTTTATATGTATTTCGTAGTGTTAAGTTTTAATAATGATAATTATCAAAATTAAATATAATATTATTCATTTAATATAAATATAGATTATGTTTGATATTAAGAAAAAATATGTTTTTTTCTCTCTTTAAAAACACAGTTTTTCCTTTTTAAAGCGCTTACCTTTCACATAAATTTCCTGCTCCTCACCTGAATATGCGAAACAGTGCATGTCCATATCATCACACGCTCCCTCGTGGCACGACTCCTCCCTGTGCGTCCTTTCTCTCAATGTGCGTAGCAATCGTAATAAGAGATAAATTAAGCATTCATGTTTGCGCACATCGGCGGCGGCTTATCTCCTGGATTCACCGACACGCATGTCCAATTACCGCTGGGATGGCCGTCGAATTTGCTTTAAGACACTCACAATATTGCACGATTTATTACGATCGTCGATAAATCAAGAGATTCGTTCTTTTCCGCGATATTCAAGAATATTCCATCGCACAGCTATTCAAATTTTTTCCTCTTCGTGAACTTTGTCGGCGCATTGAAAGACAAAGATCAACTTTTAGCGGTGATATTATGTCCAATCATTTCTCTGCGAAACGTCACTCATGTTAACATCGTTTCCTCTGTTCGTTGTCGAGCAAAATTCATCTCAAGTTCGCACGATCCAAGTCACGTAGCCTCCACCGATGATCACTATAATCAAAAAACATATGAATGTAGATTGGTTCTGTGCGTACGAGTATTTCAAATGCAGATACTACTGTATTAGCAAAGAAAAATGGCTAAAATTGCTTCAAGGTCCACGATAGTAGTCACGAAATTCTTTAATTGCGAGTAGCAAGAATAAATAAAAGTAAATACAAATGTAGTTTCACGACTAGATTTTTACTCTGCATTAATTGCTATATACGCTTGCTTTATTTCAAAATTTTCATGTGGGAATATCTACGATTCACCTTCTTCTCTCGATCGTCCTATCAGAGCAGCTCTCGCCATTGTTTGCAAATGCGAATCCTGAGCGCACAGTGGTTCCGGTATTATTAGACGTAGGACTGTTACGTTTAAACGACAATCTCGCCCATCATTCTTTGCAAGGCAGAGAAGCAAGAAGTCCGATAAACCATTCGCTCCCGCATAAATATCGTACTCGTGACGCTTGTTCTTACCCTGCAATCCGTCAAGGTCGCGATTACAAAGAACTCCAAGTACCTTATTATAGTTGCGATAGTCATGTATCTTATTATATGCGCGGTGATTGAAAATCAATTAAGAACACGATCGATAATCTGGCAGCTGAAAATCAGGATGGACGATAATTAGCCGTATAATTCATACACGATGCTCAAAGTTACAAGACGTTGCGAATAAATCGCGAGTAAAATTCCAATGTTAATAATCCACAAAAAAAGGCTCATATTTCCTAGTATAAATAAAATAATAAATAATATAAAATAATAAATATTGACATTTTTCCAAAATATTCTTTAAAATTACTTAAATCTAATAAATCATTAATAATAAAAACAGTAAATTTTGTGGAATTTCTATTTTATGTAGAGCTGCTATTGAGAGATTTCGAGATCTAATAAAATTATTTAAAATTTAAATTAATAAACTTCAATTTTAAATGAACGTACAAATCGAAATCTCTTCTTTTCGTTCTTCTGGAATCTCGAATATATATTATTAAAGCTAAGCAGAAAATTTTGAAATTCAGATAATAGGAAGTAATGCGTCGCGAAATTGCGACGTATTCACGACGAGTCTGTTGCAAAAATGTTCGAGATTTTTATCGGGAGAATGGCTGGCGTGTCTTTAGAGGACTTTACGAGCGAACGCGTCTCGAATAATTTATAAGTCGCACGGATGCACACCTGTCTGCGTCCTTCGTGATCTCTGCAAACGCACGCGAAACGCGTAAAAGTGGTTTAATGCCCCTCAACGAAGATTTGAGAACCGACTGATTGCGTTACTGTTCGGGTTTTGTCTCGCTCCTCTTGCGACAGAAGAGAATAAAATACTTGCTCGCGCGAGTTTTGCCGATTTCGCGTGCGTTTAATGACACCACACAAAGATCGAGAGTAAAATGTTATATCCTGGAAATGGTACATCCGGTTTCTTTGACTCGGACGTTTTACTTTGTAATTCGAATATCGGTACAACTTCATTTGTGTGTCATTTTTTATTCCATCGACTAGTTTAAATTAAATACTTAATACGCTCCCTACTTCCTTTGTTGCAATCTTTCCTATTGTTATATGACTCTAATTTAAATTTTATGTACTCATTGTAAAAAATAAATATGAATTTTTCAATACATATGTCAAGAAATTTTTTATCATAATTTTCAATAATTTTTTTCTCAATTAAAATATCGACATATGAACAAGGAGTTTCTGAGCTGTAGTCGATTGAAACTTAAAGAATTTAATTTTTCATCAAATTTTTAGATTTTAATTTTTTATCAATTTTTAGATTTATAGCCGATTTAATCTTAAACATTAAAATTTAATATTTAAATCGAAAAATATATGATCTCCGATTAACTCTCTACTAAAGAGAGAATTTTACTAGCAATATTTTCTAAACACGCCCATCTATAATATACTTATTTATTTTGTTTGATTATGAAATAAATATTCGAGACTGGAAATACAATATTAATTAATACAACGTGCCTTTCAGGTAGTGTTTCAGGCGACTCTGGTCTGGGAGGAGACCCGCGGCGCTCCAGCAAAGAAAAACGATGTTCTCGCCGGCACGGAATTTCTGTCGGTCTTTATAAACGGCGCCATGGCGCCGACGCCACAGCGACGTCGGGGGTTTCGGCGCGGTCAACAAGCGGCTTCATCGTCGGGTGACAGCGCGACCGCCGAGTCGCGAGATCAACACGAAGCGTCAATCTACCGAATATCTCGAAATCCGAGCGGCGGTCGGCCGATCTCGGTGTCGAGGCCGCAAACGAACGGCCGGGACGACGTCGTGCGCTTCTATCCTATAAGCCAGAAAACGTTGGAGCACCGGCAACAGAATCTGGCATCGTTGATCGACGTTCTGAGCACACCCGGAATAAGCTCGACGCGTCTGACACCGTCGAGTGCGGCGACGACGACGACGACGACGACGACGACGAGCGCGTCTCCATCGTCGTCGCCGCCGATTTTTCACGATCGAACAACTTCGAGGTCGAACGGAACCAATGGATCCGGCATCATCGGCAAAAGCGTTAGTCGACAGAAGGTGATCGGCGTCAGCGTCACGTCCACGGTCGAGGCTACACCGTACAAGGTGCGCGTCGAGCATTACGACAGCGCTGACACCGCGGTGGTGACACGACCACCGAGTCTGGAGTCTCCGGTGAGCAGAGAAATTATTAAGGAATCGACTAGAGAATCAATTAAAAGCACAACGAGCACCAGCAGGCCATCGACGTCGCCATCGTCTACGACAACGACGACGTCGACGACGCCATCGTCTACGACAACGACGACAACGACGCTACCGCCAGCCCGATTCGTCACCGAGGAGCTCAGTAATATCGTCTCGGAGTCTAACAGAAGCGAATTCTCCGTCGACGAGGAGGACTCGTTGAGGACTAGCTGGCACGGCCGCGTGACCATGACACCTCGGATCCAGAAGGTCCCCGCGTTCGCAGAAAGGAACGGAAACGAAGAAACTAATGAAACCACGCACATCGACATTGACGCGATCACCCTTCCGACAGAGGAGAATTACGAGCTGCCTGTGGAGAACTCGGAACTACGCGAGTTAAACGAGGAACTGTCAGAGACGCCATCGGATCGGCTTCAAGGACGCAAGATGGGACGTCATTACGATGCGCCGCTGTACAATCGCTCAAGCCCGAAACTCTACAGTCAATCATCCAAGACGTACAAACCCGTGCGTACTTACAACGAACCTGCCAAGATGTACAGCGAGCCGGCCAAGGTCTACAGCGATCCTGAACGAGTATACGGGGAACCGGCTAAAGTCTACAGCGAGCCTGCCAAAGTTTATAGCGAACCGGCCAAGGTTTACAGCGAACCTGCTAAGATCTACAGCGAACCCGCCAAGGTCTACGGCGAGCCGGAAAAGATCTACTCCGAACCGTCAAAGATCTATTCGGAACCGGCCAAGGTTTATTCCGAGCCGGCCAAAATTTACTCGCAGCCGGCCAAGATATACGGTGAACCTAGCAAGGTATACGACTCCGAGGGCCAACCGGTGAACCGTCAACACGGTGGTGAACCCGACGAGGAAAACTACGAAATTGACGAATCGGTCAGCGTTGGCAGCAACGGTAACGTCCACGGACCGCAATTGGTCGTCACGGAAGAAACCCCGGGTGCGTCCGAGGACGGACACAAGGTCGGTTATGTAGTCGAAGGGAGGAACTTCAGGAAGTACAGGGTCGAGGAGAGGACACCGGATGGCTTCATCGTGGGCGAATACGGCGTCGTCAGTCACGACGATGGTTCACTGCGTGGTGTCAGGTACACCGCCGATGGAACCATCAATCCACAGCTCATCTATGACGCTCTAATGAAGTTTCTCGCTTTGTGAGCATCGCGATAACGTAGGATAGGAAAGATGAAGAGGACGAGGTGGCTTCGGCGGCGTCGTCGACGAGACGAACACGACTGATTCTTTTGCTCTTGCCAACTCAACTGCCTCAACAATTAATTTTAAGGACGATATGTTTCTTAGGATCTAAGGAAGAGCCTGTTCGAAGGTAATTCGCCGCGCGCGTCACCGAGCAGAGGACCGAAAGGTCGATCGAAACCGACGTACGAAAGTCGAATCTCGATGTTCAGATTCAGATTGCGAAACGCTGACAGATGAAAGTTATTCTTTAGACGGCGAAAGTACGAACTTTTGTGCGCGGTGCTGCTCGATGGCCTTTGACGATTGTGGCAACCGATCGAAGTGGTTGTCGAATGTTTTTCTTACGGGTTATTCGCAAAGATTCTCGAGAACGTGAATCATTAAAATGTTTCTAGTGCGCGAGAGCTTGCATTTGGACGACATGCATCGATTTAGACAATTTTCAATTATAATATCAACAATGACACAATTATTAATTTCACATTTCGATAAATTTTGAACATTCTACAATAATCTGATACTCTTAAAAAACATGATAATTAATTATTTTAATTATAGAATGAATATAAAAACTGTGCGATCTTTAAGCTTGACAGAAACAAAATTCGTGAGAAAAAAATATTGAAAAAATGTCTAATTCTGATGCGATATCGATGCAACTGTAATTTGAAATCAACTTGAAGCTTTTATCGACATCTTTTTTTGTATTATATATTAGAAAGATTAATGTGAGTTGTGTATGTACGTATGTGGCAAGAGATCTGTATTAATTAAAGATTAATTTAATCGTCGAAAGGGGATTTTTTACGAATTACTCGCTATTATGCCAAAGTTAACGCTAAAACATTCAGACTTTTCTTATCGTCTTTAAAATCTAGAAATTATTCAACTTAACTCTGCATACTAAATATAATTTATTGTCGAATTTTACGAAGCATGTATTTAGACTTACATATAACTTTACTATAATAATATCTAAACAAAAAACATATGTTATTGAAGTATATCGAAGTTGCCAACGAATATGTCTGAATGTTCTAACGTTAATAGCTTCCGAAATCATTGACCAAGTGTTCCCTTCGTGTGCTTTTATTGCGGTCACGCTTCTGCGATGAAGAGGTAAACGAAAAAGTTGCAGCTGCCAGGGTCCTCCAAGAATGAGCCTCCGAAAGAACAGACCCCGCAGTTGCAATGGATGGACCGACTTGTCGCGGCAGCATTTCTGCATGTCTCCTAGCTCTAATTGTAAGTTCCCTATATAGATCTTAAAGTTGCCCCTTCCCCTCAAAGGAAATATCTCAATCAACGAGAAAGTTCCGTTTTTTTTCGCGTAGTGTCGATTGTTTTATTTAATATTTGAAACTAGCTTCGTTTTCTCTCATTACCTCAGTCCTTTGAGATAGTTCCTCTCGCCATGCAATATCAAGCGAGCAAATATACATCCTAAGCGCGAGAAACGTTCCGCGAAACTCGCAAAAAGTATGTACGGGGTGTTTCAAAATCTCTCTTTTGAACAGTTACAGAAACACCGGTGCGTTATTTGTGGACACTATAGGATATCTTTCGCGTATTGCTCACATTCGTAGGCTATAAGTAATATCTCAATTATTCTATTTTACTCTCCCATATGAACACTTCTAAAGCATTCCGATATGTTACAGACACTATCTCTAAGAATTCTACTCGTATAAGTATCCTAGACAACATTTATACTATTAATCTTATAACATGTATAGTGCTGTGCGTGCAGCCACCGCCATTTTTCAACGACAACTTTGTAATAAATTCATATTTGTGAAGATTAAGTATTTGAAAATTATTTTACCTTAACTATAAAATAAATCTTCTTGTGAATTCTAACGCAGAGAGAGTCTATTCTCGATGTAAAGACAAAGGCTACGAAATTTGCTACTGGTATTGGAAATCTATAGTTCACTGATTAATAATTATAAAAGTATTATTGCGTTTTGACATCTCTTAAACTTGTCACGATCGTAATTCAAGAAATATTATAAGGATATGTAGCATAATAATGTACAATATTATTGTTTATATACAGTCATTTTGTCATTTGAAATCAATGAAACTCAAACGAATAAGAACCGTGTTGTGTTTTTGTATTATTATGTATATTAGATATAGATCTCCAATAGTGGCAATGTAAATTTCAGAACGTAGTAAAATCAAAAAGCACGAATTAGAATCGCTTATAGAGATTTTTATGTTTCTTTATTACAACTATTTAAAATTTTAGAATCTTCGGTAACTATCCTCATTATCAAAAAATAAAATCTGATATATTGCATAATTAAGTGTTATATTGCTGATTTGTTGTAATTCTGGACTCTAATTTTGGATTTATTTTTCCTTAAGAGGAAATTGGCATTAATAATGGAGATGTCTATTTAACATTAAATCAGTATCTTCTCTTCCGAAAAATATTTGGCGAATCGTAAATAAAATGTAAATATTAATTGCTCAAATATATTGGGAATATAAACATTTCAAAAATATTAATTTTTTTATAGATAGATAAATATTTATTTAAAATTACAATTACAATTTTATAAATGGATAAATTTCTAGATGAATAAATTATATATATATATACTATAACATTATATATATGTTATAATATAATAGTAAATAAGAGCAAAAATATAATACAATAGTAAATGTAATAATAAAATAATTAAAAATAAAAAGTTAACGTTAATAAAGCTTGATATTGAATTATTAATAAAAAATAAAAAGTTAAAGTTAATCAAGCTTATTGAATTATTTCCAAGAGAGAATTATTATCAAAATTTATCATTCGAAATAAATTTAAAAAGTAATCAAAAACATTTTATATTGTTACGAAGTAAACATTATGTTGCTATGATTATTTATTCTTCTATATTTTTTTATATCAAAGTGTTTTCAATCATAAAAATAAGTGAGCAATTAATTTTTACAAATAACAGATCTGATAAATTAACATAATTTAATAAATTATTCACCTCACAGCTGATCCGTCGTCTTTCGATGCTTCTCTGAATTTTGTTCTCTTCTTTTGTTTATTCTTTGCTGCTCCTTCGTGACTTTACGAGAGTGATATTTTCATGAGAACACCATTAATTACGATCACACAACTTCACATAGCACTTCTATTAATTACGCAGTGATATTCACTTTACTTTTCATTGCGACGAGAATGCAAAATTTACGATTACATAAAATTATGATTCACTCGGCATTAAAAAACACGCAGTCGAAACCACGGAATGTTATTTTACAAAAATTAATCATGCGGTTATATAATCGATAATAGTGATAATTTTGTAAGAAATTATCGCGTTGTACTTCTCTAAGTACTTGTCGCGGTCACAGTTCGAGAGATACTAAAAGGACACGTAGCGATATGACGTACGACGCTATTGTTTACATGCCGCGATCTTGTTATCATCTACGTAGTACACGCACCGGCAGGAATGGTGTCCCGCTATGCTGTGTGACGTTCACTGACGTCACACTCACACAAGCGAAGCGCGCAGGTACGCGAGCCGGGCAGCGGGAGAGAAAGTAGGGGTAGAGTAGTGGGAAGTTAATCAAACTTATTGAATTATTTCCAAGAGAGAATTATTATCAAAATTTATCATTCGAAATAAATTTAAAAAGTAATCAAAAATATTTTATATTGTTACGAAGTAAATATTATGTTGCTATGATTATTTATTCTTCTATATTTTTTTATATCAAAGTGTTTTCTATCATAAAAATAAGTGAGCAATTAATTTTTACAAATAACATTATCTACGTAGTTACAACTCGAACGGACAAAAACCGTCGCGCTGTATTGTCATATTATTTCTCAAAATCAATCGCGATGAAAATTTAATATTTTTGCTTGTTTACCTTTCTTGATCAAATTAATTAGCGATTAATTTTGATGTTTCCTTTTATTTATAATTCGCTATACGAGTATTTTTTTAAAGTGACAATACTAGTTAATAATTTTAATAATGTTAATAATGTTAGTAATGTTTATTTAACATTTTTATTTTTAATATCATTCTGTTGGAAAACATTAAATTCGAATTAAAACAAAAAATTAACAATAAATTGGAACTTAATATATATTGAAATTTAATTTTTCATATTGGGAGATTAATTGAGATCTATTTAAAGTGTTGTACAAGTATAAAATAAAAATTTGCAATAATTAAATGAATGATTATTTAATGTGAGATTAATGAAGATTAATTAGAAGAAAAATCAGTTAAGAGATTATAAAGAAAGGTTTATTCTCTTTGTGAATATCCACGATCCTTGGTTTTTTTGACTTAATGATCATGCTAATAATAATTCTTATTTTGCTTGTAAATCATGTAATAATATTACACTGTGATCAATGTATATCGAACCAGAATGACATTAATGATAGTATTCTGCTCGTATATTTTTAGTAAAAAATATATTAACAGCAATTCAATATTTCTTTGCAACAATTTTCATTGGACAGCTTGCTGGTTCGTTTGCTATAAAAGAAGACAGACTCATATATCAAACAAAATTTTTACGATCATAATTCGAAAGGTTGTAAAAGTCAATAATCTTGGATACAAGTTTAAGAGCGAGAGTATACATTTTAGAATTTTATATTTCGACATCTTTTTACAATGAAATAAATCGATTGATTACATATATGTAAAGGAAAATTCTAAACATTTTAAAAATCTTTATTAAAATCTAATCTTTTTAAAAGACGAAATTATAATCTTTTTAATCTTAATTAAAAATAGTTCAGAATTCAAAGATCTTATAGTCTACACGTTCGAGTGATCTGACAGTCTCGATGTAAAGACGATGGTATTAAAAGTCGAATCGCACGAGTTTAAACGTTAAGCTACTTAGTCATGTCAAAATCTTAAATTCGACGACCATCGAAGGCGCGATCATTCTCTATTTAACATCCTTACGATAGATGACACCTCTAAGCCGTATTAAATTCTGCCACAATTAAAATCCCCGCTCGCGGCGAAACGGAACTCCAGAATCCAAAATACTCAGGTGTGGACGGGATTGATAGTCATATACGACAACGACACTGTGACTGGTTCTTCATTATCTTGGCGCCAGACAGGAATTACTCGCGCGTTTTAGGGGCAGTGAACGTCCTTGAAGGCCAGGCAATTTTCTTCTCCGAATATGGCCATCCGTATTTCGATAACCCGATATCTATTGATGATCGCAACGATCTATTTCAAACAACGATTGTCGAAATCGCGATCAATGTACTCTTCTGTTTTGAACAATATTCTGCACGCTATGAAAAAATCTAACAATACACGATGCTGAATAGATATTAAACAAATTAAATATCGAATTTAATAATTAATAATTAATATTTAACATTATAACATTTAATTTAATATTTAATAATTAATATTTAATAATATCAAATTTAATATTTAATAATGAATTTGTAATTGCATAATATAGTTGCAAATGTTAATTTAATACAAAATTTACTTAATAAATTAACACTTATTTGCAACTATATTATCTAATTACTAATCAAAACATATATTTCTTTCCTTCTCACTTTTTTGTAATTAAATCCATTTAGTTAAATATATTTAATTTTATATATGTATAATGCTTGTTTAGCTTTTATAATATTATTATTATTGTGATTAATGGATATCCCGCAGAATCATTTATCTCCGAAATTCCCTTGCTTGCCTTACAAGCAGAGGCGCTCTCATAAATTATGATAATAAATCCGGCTTACGTCGAATCTGTGAGAAGTGGATATCTCGGCATCGATTAAGCCAACAATGCACGTGCGATGAAATGTATGTAAATTACATACATAAAATAAAACAATGGCTTCTGCTTTAACAAATCAATATCAATCATAATTTATCTTTGGTGTTAATTTGTACGTTTAGAAATAAAATTCCTCCAGCATCCTCATTCAAAAAGCCAATATCCGACTCAATTTCCAATTCGCACTTTGGATCAAACTTAAATCATACTAAGATTGTACTTATATGTTTAAGCACATTATCTGAAAGAGTCTTATTTGGGGGATTTCTTTACAGTTTTCAGATTTTTGATATTTGATATGATTTTAAAGTGTTTTTATAAATTTTAGAAGCTAATACAAAGCTAATAAAAATGCAAAATATTTCTCAAATATACATAATACATTTCTAACGTTTTCCTTAAATTTTTATAAAATAATTTTCTCTCTTTATCAAAAAATATATTTAAAACTTTTTATACAATATTTCCAATCGATCACAACCTAGGCGCTGTCTAGCCACATAGATGGAACTAGGTGACTCTCACCTCAACCTGCCTCAACTCAGGTGAGAGTCGATAAACTAGGAGAAGATCTTACCGCTATACGGTCGGATTATCGTGTACACTGTGTGCTGGATTAAGAGAAGAGCGGCGGTCAAAGGACCAATCGTCGAGATTTCAACGGCGAATAAACACGGTCACGCGACTCCGCCACTCGATATATCGTCCGTCGACGTGCGCCGCCCGGTCACGCTTCTTATTGTGCAAATAATTGAAATACTAATCCCCTTTACCCTCGCGCTGACAGTCAGGACGTGATCGGACGTAGCTCAACGACCCGCTATTTAGGATTGCGTACTTGAGAGGGTGCGAGCCCGGAACGGGATGTGCCCCGCAAAAGTGGAAGCAAACGCGCGACACGCACCCACCCCGAGGGGATACACGTGACTTCGATACGCTTTCGTTTTAAACTATCGTCGAGACGTCTCGTATATTTGCATG